TATATTCTCTTGTACTAAGCATTTTAACTTTAACATTGTGAAATTGTGTTGACAAAACAGCAAATGTTGGGAGTACATCGTCTACACTTTGATTTGTACTCAGGAAGAGTAGACACATGAGGATCATGAGTTCAAATGTGTCTCTAAATCATGACGAACATCTAAGGAAAACTGAATAAGAAATAAGAAAATCTCAAGGGAATTTGAGAATTTGTGGAAATATGAAAAACAAAACCAGGAGGAACAACCCACCACCATTTCATAGAGACTCTTACTTGAAAAGTATGATCACACACTGCCTGATAGTTAAAGAAACAATGGACCACTCTACACATTATAGTAGAAAAATACCTATCAATAAGTAAAAACAAAATAGATTAACAAAAGTCACAGAAGAAATATAAGGACCACAAAATAAACTTCACTCAATGGATTTGTCACACATGGAGCACACTTTAATATCTACCTCAAATGCTTCAAAATAAAAACTAAAGTGCAGTGATCTGTACCATCAGTCTTCAGTAAACATGGTAAGTAATTTATTTCCATCAAGGATATGATGAAAAATAAATAAAACATTACCTTTTCTCTTATAGCTGAAGACAACTGTGATATCTAAAGTCTTGAAAATCATTTTCAGGAAAAGAGTTTTCATCAGTGTGAGTTTATCCATATTTCCTGACTTTGGATTGAAACACATAGGCTTTAAAATATTTAGAGCACTAGAAACATGGCTGGGCAGTAAAGAAATGTTCACTCCCAAAACCAAGGTCTGATTTTTGACAACATCCTGTAATTTCTGCTATAAAATCCTAGGATCTAATATTATCAGAAACAAGCGTGTACATTCACATACCCATGCAAAAACACACTGATTATTATAATCACAACTAAAACAACTCTTTAAACATTTTCACTCATGAAAGTTTTTCTTTTGTAAGAATTCATTCCTATACTACAGGTGTTAAGGCACCTAATGGCTGACAAAATTTTTCTTCATCATGATGCAATCAGGTAGGCCTGAAGTCTAAGAAATCAAGTCTTCTAAGTTAATGGAATCATTTGGGAAGAGTTATGAAATGCTGTCCTGCTGGAGGAAATAAGTCACTGGGAGTAGGCTTTTCTAGTTTACACACTCTGTTTCATGCTGTAGGTTAAGGATTTGAGTTCTTAGCTTTCTGTATTAGCTGTCATGTTAGACACTTATAGTCATAACTTTCTTTTTTTGAGAAAGTGTTTCTCTGTAGCTTTGAAGTCTGTCCTAGGACTATTTCTTGTGCAAAATACTGGCGACACTCACCAGTGGGATTAAAAGTATGCACCACCAGTGCCCAGTTGAGGTGTCACTCACTTTCATGACAATTCTGTATTACTCTAGAACCAAAGGCCACATGCATTTTTATAAGTGTATAATTTTTATATAGACATTATATCACAACAACAGAAAATGAACTAATATGAATCAATAAAGTTTTATGCCTGAATCAGTGATTCCATTTAATTGAAGAGAAAAAAATAAAAAGGGGTTACATTATTGTTTAAAAGCATAGTGCATGTGTTATAGCTCTGGAAGGAAAATGATTCTGACTGTCAGAAGTCAGGCTATACCTACAACTAAGAAAGGAAGGTAGTCTAGATATCTACTGCTGTGGGAGAAAGATATCCTGATTTGATGTGGGATTCCCCTCTTTGTGTTGTGATTACTATTAATGAATAAAAAACTGCCTTGGCCTGTTGATAGGGCAGAACTTAAGTAGGCAGGGAAAACTGAACGGAATGAGGAAGAACAGCAGAAGAAGAGAGATGACATGGAACAGCCAGAGACACATGCTGGGATTTTTACCCAGAAAGTAACAGCCACTTGGCAATACACAAATTAATAGAAATGGTTTAAGTTGATATGCAAGAGTGAGCCAATAAGAACCCAGAGCTAATGGGCCAAGCAGTGATTTAATTAATACAGTATTTTTGTGGTTACTTCAGATCTAAACTAGCTGAGTAGCTGGGAACCAAACAAGCGACCTCTGTACAAGAGATTGTCAGAAGTCAGGTTATGCCTACAGTTGTGAAGGGAAGGTATCCTGTGATGTGGGATCCCCCTCTGTATGCTGTGAACATGATTTAGTGTCATTGGATAATAAAAAAGTTGCTTGGGCCTACAACAGTGCAGAATATAGTCAGGCTGGATGAGATATAGAGAGAGACTAGGTGGAGTAAAAGAGATGCAACGTAGTTGTTGAAGCAGAAAGATGCCAGAACAGAACCTTGATGATAAACCCCCAACCCTGTGTTGAGATGAACAGAAATGGGTTAATTTAAGATGGAAGAATTAGTTAATAGAATCTTGAGCTAACAGGCCAAACAGTGTTGTATTTAATATATTTTCTGTGTGACTATTTGGGTCTAGATGGCTACAGAAACTGCCTCTGCAGGCTCCAATACAATCCTGGATATCTACAGCTGATAGGAAAGCTACCCTGACTGTTATTAAGTCAGGCTATCCCAGAAGCTGTGGAGAAAAGGCTCTGAAGAGAAAGGTACCCTCACTGTCATATCAAGATACACCTACTACTGTGAAAGTATACTAGATACCTACAGCTATAAAGAGAAATGAATCCGGACTGTTGAGAAGTCTGGGTATAACTGAAACAGTGGAGGGAAGGTAGCCTCATACCTAGGTCTCTGAAGAAAATGGTACCCTGACTGTTAGAAGTTGGGCCATACCAACAGTTGTGAAAAGTGTAGTGAATACCTAAAACTATGAGGTGAAAAGGTATCGCTGTGGAGGCCCAAAACCATGAGCCTATTTCCACCTTATCTGAAAGTCAGAGTTTGAGGTTGTTCAAAATTGTTAACAGGTGTGGCTACACACACTGCCCTAAAGTCTGGTTGTTTTGTGTTTGGGGCTTTAAGAGAGCCAATACAGGTAAATCCACTTCCCCTTGAGCAAATGTGAAAGAATCCAAACATACTTCTGCTACTTCTTTTGAATTAAGAGGTTTGACTTCGGGAATGACTGCCTTTTGAATACTTGGTCTAGGGAGGGTTCACTGCCTGAATAACAGAATGTTTTTCTCAATAATTAAGGGCTTGGTGTCTCAAAGTATTGAAGGAAGTAACTGTTCTTGTTGTCTTTTGCATTATGCTAGAGCAATTTTTTGTCTTCTTCTCGCTGCTGTATTGGGGCATAAAACTATATAAAAAATTGGTCTGCAGAGAAGGCTCAGTGACTAAGAGCACTGCCTGCTCATCTAAAGGTCCTGAGTTAAATTCCCAGCAACCAAATGGTGGCTTACAACCAGCTGTAATGAGATCAGGTGCATTTTTTCTGGCCTGCAGGCATGCACATAGACAGAAAAACATATATACAATAAATAAATCTTTTTAAAAAAAGTATATGAAAAATTAAATGCAGGCAGATTTACAGTATTCACAGGAAGTCCCTCCTGGTGCTGTCCTATGCTTCTGTTTTATTATTTTCAATTATGTCTGCATTCTCTTTACTTATGTTCTAATCCCCATGCCCCTTCCCTGGTAAGTGGTATACTTGTCAAAGATGGTCCCTGACATATACTATTGGGAAGTCTGGCTGTACACGAAGCTGTGTTCCAGTGGGAGATGTTCCCCTAAAGGGTGTAGCAATACTGCTCCCCTACAAAAGAGAGCCTTCACAGCTGGGCCCTGATTCACTCTGCTAAGAGAGCTTCAAAGCAGAGACATCCATTGCTGTTCTGCCCCACTTCCCTAAGGGAGTTTCCTAGCAGAGTTGTCCAATTCTTCTCTGTTCACCTGACTAGGGAGTTTCCTAACAGGATGTATTTCTTTGGCTCCAGTTTCAGAGTCAAATTATATATTTCAATGGCTCTGGTTTCAGGGTCAGGATGAGTTTCTTTAGCTGGCCTATTTACCCTACACATAGGGCTTCATAAATTCATTATACCATAATTGTACGTACAAACAGTATAAAAAGGACATCATGATGCTTGAAGATGTTTAACACTGTCAAATTCATTTCTACAGAAGAAATACTCTTGTATTATAGACAGAAGATTCTTGTTCATTCCTGACTGCCCAGACCCAAAATAATCACACAGAAACTATACTAATTAACGCTGCTTGGCCTATTGGTTCAGGATTCTTGTTAACTAACACTGACATCTTAAACCACCCCATTCCTATTATTTTGTATTTTACCACAAGACTTGTGATTTACCAGTAAGGTTCCAGGGCATCTGTCTCCTTCAGCAGATACATGGAGTCTGACTCCACTTTCTTTTCTCCTCTATCTCTTCTAGGAATTCCTGCCTTGTTCTATTCTGCCCTGCCATAGGACCAAAGCAGCTTCTTTATTAAACAATGGTAACAAAATATATTCACAACATATAGAAGGGAAAACCAAATCATTGTGTAGCTTATTATAAGTGTTTTGGCTAAAGATCTTACCAAATACTATTTTTTTAAATTTATTTATTTATTTGTTTATAAAAATTTCCACTTCCTCCCCTCCTCCCCATGCCCTCCCATTCCTCCCACTCCCTCTCCTCCTCCCTCTCCAGTCCTAAGAGCAGTCAGGGTTTCCTGCCCTGTGGGAAGTTCAAGTTCCTCCCCTCTCCCTCCAGGTCTAGGAAGGTGAGCATCCAAACAGACTAGGATCCCAAAAAGCCAGTACATGCAGACAAAACAAGACCCAGTGCCATTGCCAATGGCTTCTCAGTCAGCCCCCATGTCAGCCACATTCAGAGACTCCAGTTTGATCACATGCTCATTCAGTCCCAGTCCAGCTGGCCTTGGTGAGCTCTCCTTCGATCAGTTCCCTTGTATCAGAGGGTATGTACTCACTCATAAGTGGATTCTAGCCAGAGTTAAAGGTCTTTGAGCCTATAATTCGTGATCCTAGAGAACCTAAATAAGAAGGTGAACCAAATACTTTATAATAAGAAGTCCTCAGTATCTTTTTCAGGTAGTCAATGTCTATTGTAATATTCAAAGATTTTAACAGATTGTTGCACACAAAAAGTTTTACTCCTATATAAAGTACAAAACTTTATCACAATAAAACCACTTACAGGGTTTCTATGCCATATGATATTTCTCATGATTTAGATTATTCATACATGCAAATGCCTTACCACACTGACTACATTTATAGAGTTTATCTCCACTGTGTGATTTTTTATGCATTTGTAGAGTACTGTGAAGTGCAAAGGCTTTACCACACTCATTACATTCATAGAGTTTATATCCAGCATATGTCAGTTTATGTCTTTAAAGATGACTATGATAAACAAAGCCTTTAGCACACTAATTACATACTTAATGTTTCTCTCCAATAGTGTTTCTGTTATGTTTTCAGAGATCACTATACATGCAAAGGCTTTACCACATTGAAAAATATCCATAGGGTTTCTCTCCAGTATGTGTTCTTTCATGTGTTTGGAGACTACTGTGACATACAAAGGCTTTACAACACTGATTACATTCATAGGGTTTTCTCTTCAGCATGTTTAATTTCATGACTTTGTAGATGAATGTGCTGTAAAAAGGATTCACCACACTGATTACATTCATAGTGTTTCTCTCCAGTATGGCTTCTTTCATGATTTTGGAGAGTACTGGAACATGCAAAGGCTTTACCACACTGATTACATTCATACGGTTTTTCCCCAGTATGGGCTCTTTTATGTTTTTGGAGATAACTGAGAAGAGCAAAGGCTTTACCACACTGATTACATTCATAGGTTTTCTCCACAGTATGGGTTCTTTTATGAATTTGAAGATAATCTTGCTGTGCGAAAGCTTTACCACACTGATTACATTCATAGGGTTTCTCCCCAGTATGGGTTCTTTCATGCCTTTGGAGAGTACTGGAACATGTAAAAGCTTTACCACACTGATTACATTTATAGGGTTTCTCTCCAGTATGGGTTCGTTCATGATTTTGAAGATGACCGTACTGTGCAAAGGCTTTACCACACTGATTACATTCATAAGGTTTCTCTCCAGTATGGCTTCTTTCATGAGTTTGAAGATTACCCTGCCATGTGAAGGCTTTACCACACTGATTACATTCATAGCGTTTCTCTCCAGTATGGCCTCTTTCATGAATCTGGAGAGCACTGGAACATGGAAAGCCTTTACCACATTTATTACATTTATAGGGTTTCTCTCCAGTATGGACTCTTTTATGCTTTTGGAGATAACTGTGCCATATAAAGGCTTTACCACACTGATTACATTTATACGGTTTCTCTCCAGCATGGCTTCTATCATGAATTTGAAGATGACCCTGTTGTGCGAAGGCTTTACAACACTGATTACATTCATAGAGTTTCTCTCCAGTATGGCTTCTTTCATGAATTAGAAGATAACTGTGCCATGCAAAGGCTTTACCACACTGATTACATTCATATAGCTTCTTTCCAGTATGTGTTCTTATATGCATTTGAAGAGTATTCTGACATGCAAAGATTTTACAACATTGATTACATTTATAGGGTTTCTCTCCAGTGTAAGATCTATTGTGCATTCCAAGATGACTGTGATGTGCAAAAGCTTTACCACACTCATTTTCTTCATAGGGCTTCAATCTAGTATATGTTTTTTCATGCCTGTGAAGATGACATGCAAAGGCTTTAACACATTGAGTATATACAGAAGTTTTCTTGCTAGTTTGACTTTTTTCATGCCTACAATGGTAATAGTAAAAGAAAAGAATTACTACATTTAATACACTGTTGAATATTTTTATCTGTATGAATTAACTTGACAATTTAGTACTATTTTAAAGAAGAATTATATGTTAAGGTTTTATCACCATGTTTACAATCTTGTTTTTCCTTCATTAAAGCATGTTTTTCATCTTTGAGGATAACTGAAAACAGTCTTTATTATATGGTTTACATTTACAGAATCTTTTTTTCTGTATGAGAATTTTCATGTATTTGAAGAGAACTGAAAAAACTCAGAGCTTTACCACTCTTATTGCATTTATAACGTTTCCTACTCTGTGAGTGATACTACATTTGTTAAGTTAACTAGGACAAACAGAAGTTTTTACACAGTCCTAGTACTCGTGGTGCTTTTCTGAAATGTAAGTTTGTTGATATATTAACAATGAGGCTAGAAAACAAATTACTTGTATACTTGTACATCAAATTCAACAAGTATACTCAACATGGGGACTGTTACATATCTTCTATTTCTTCTGAGAGAGGGGTATTTTATATTTTTTCACATCCCTATGCTCATGTGGCTTGTATCCAGAGTAACATGTGATATACTTAGTAAAGGAAGAATAACAAATATAAGTCTTCCACATTGAATTCACAGTTTGACTTTCTGTCCTCATAGACTTGTGGTATCTTCATTAAAGCCTCTCTATAACAGCTGCCCCTTGAGTTGTGACTCTAACTGCCCACTCACTAAACTTAACACAGTCACAAATATATGGGTTAAACTACCTTTTCTATGAACTATTAGTGTAATAGAGTGTTTCAGAGATATACTTATCACCTTTTCAAAATGTATATCTTTTAGAATATGAATAATATGAAATAAATGCATTGACAGTTTTACAGAATAGCTCATTTATTATGAATCAAATGGAAATACAGGTTAAGGCATTGTTTCCTTGACTTCTTTCTTAAAAGAATGACTTTCAAATGCAATTCACCTATCTGAAATTTTGTGATAATTTAATAAGCACCAATGAACTTTATTGTGTACATTGTTGTTTTGGTTTAAAACATATAGGATACATTACAAATTCTTCAGGGGTACATCTGTATCAGCTTATACATGGAAATTACCTTTCATGTCTTCTAGAACTTTGACAATGTTCTTCAATATTATGGTCTTCCCAATTATATCCTAAAATACAGTGCCAGAAAAATGTATGTTATATATTAAAAATTGTAAAAAATTTAGTTACCATTTGAAGCAAAACTTAAAAACATGTCTAATCTCTTTACCCATTCTTCTTTCTCAATCATATTACAAAAGAGCATTATTAACCAATGAATAGTTGTCCCCTTATTTAAAACATAAACCATAATTCAGTCCTACCTATAGCAGTGAGGTTTCTGTAGGTCTCCACCATCACATCTTTGTAGAGACTCTTCTGGGAAGGATTCAGCAAAGTCCATTCTTCTGAAGTGAAGTCGACATGCATGTCATCACAGGTCACTGCATTCTAAAATCCCATACATGTGTACAAAAGAAAGTATGATTTTGCAGCACTGTAAATGTATACATTTTTGACAGTATAGTCAAAGAATTATGGTGTTCCCCATACTTATTCCATGACATAGACATCATAATTTAATCACCAAGTCACTTCAGAAGCAAACTGAATAGGAGGTTCACCATTGTCATTTCTGAACCCGTTGAATGGGATATCACTTTGCAAGAGAAATGCCTACTAACCAACAATGAAAGATACATAAACAGAACATGAGTACAGAGTACAGATAAGAGAGATTGTATGAATGATTAATTTCTAACTACAAAAAAGAAAAATAAGATGAAAAAGCTGGATGCATTGAGTCCTTTAATCCAAGGACTCAGAAGGCAGAGGCATGTATGTCTATCTGCCTCTGAGCTGAATACAAGCCTAGTCCACACAATCACTTCTATGGCAGCCAGAAATACATGTTAAATACCTCCTTCACATGATAAAAATTAATCAAACATAAAGGCTAGTAATAACTCATAGGCTTTTGCTGAAGTGTCTACAAAAGTTATGCATTTACTTCAACTCTTTATTCATCTACATGAAATCTGAAGTACCCCAATTTAAACTGAAACATGAATAAGATTTTACTAAAAGGCACTGTGTGTTTAAAAAGTTACAAATGGACAAATGAAAAGAATAGCAATTAATATGCTGATTACAAGTAATGAACACAGAGCAGGAAAGATGGCTCAGCAGTAGAGTCCTCCTGGTATTGCATGCAGGTGGGCTTAAGGACTTCCATGGAGGATCATAACTATCCATTATTCCAAGATCAAGGTTTTTAGTACCATTTTTTTGATCAATGTAAGGACCAGGTACTCACATGGTGCATATCTATACATACAGGTTAAATACTCTTTTTAAAATAAAAATTGAAAACAAACAAAACAGGCAGAAAGAAGGTTATGCATCTGCAATCCAATGACTCAAAAGACACAGGCAGTATTAATGTCATGAGTACATGACATCCTGGGAAAAATAATGATACCCTCTGTAAAATTTAAAATTTAAGATATGGGTGAAGTTCACTACAGCAGCATATGCTTGATAAAAACAAAGCCATCATACAATACAGAAACAAAAAAGTCAAAAAGCCAAGAATGCTGGCCCACTTTTAATCCCAGCACTAGGGAGTCAGAGTCAGAGGTTCTCTGAGTTTGAAGCCAACCTGGTATATTGCACTACTTTCAGAATACCTAGGGCAACACCGACAAACCTTGTCTTCAAAAATAAACAAACAAAAATACAAACATTAGGCTACCAAACCACCTTAGCACCAAATAGCAGCTAATTCTACTGAATCTTGTATGATGTAGTGATAGAGCTTATGATGGTGGGGAAGTTATGACAGCAAAAGAAGAAAGCCGACTGATTGTTTTCAACAACAAAACAGTAGGCACAAAGAACAGGAAATGGGTTGAGGCTATAGAAACTTATATTGTGGGATTCCCTTCTGGATGCTGTGATTATCATTGTTTAATAAAGAAACTGCTTTGGGCCTATAACAGAGCTTTAGGACAACTCCAAGGTAGGTTGGGAAAACTAAATTGAATGCTGGGAGGATGAAGGGGGAGTCAGAGAGAAGTCATGTAGCCCTATCAGAGACAGATGCTGAGAACCTCACCTCATAAGCCACAGTCACATGGCAATACACAAATTAACAGCAATTGATTAAATTAATATGTAAGTGTTAACCAATAAGAGGCTAGAGCTAATGGGCTAAACAGTGATTTATTAATACAGTTTCTGTGTGGTTATTTTCAGGCTGAGAAGCTGGGAACTAATGAGTGGCTTCCCATAACAAACCGTTGCCCATGTGGCCAACTAGCATCCATTTAAAATCTTAGAGAGCTTGGAAAGGAATTCTAAACAGTAAAAAAATGAAGTTTAGCCACATTTATTTCCCCAAATGGGCTTTGCTTACTGGTGATGTGCTGCAGCACCTTTAAGAGATGTTTTCCTGATGTAGAGGTAGCATAAAAAAGCTCCACCATTTTGAAATGCTGAATTTCTGGGCTGTGCTGTCAGTGCCAACTCTGACTCCTTCTGGAAGACTGGCTATGGGGTCTGTGAGAAGATTGCTAGTGGCAACTCAGACCCCGTGTATGCCTGAAAATGGGGTAATGTACATGGCTCTCAGAGGCAGCAAATGTGCCTCTGCCATGTTGGACTGTGTTGAGCAAGCAGGCACATATATACCCATATTCCCAAATACAACTCATAAATGTTTCTTTACATTTAAAGGGGAATATGCTATAGAAATTTGCAATGGTATGGATCTTGGTTTATTGATACAAATTTTAGGTCAATTGTATTATGTGTATTTCTGCTCTTAAGGTATTGTATTTGTGCAGCTCATTTAAACATGAAATATATAATTAAAATAGAGGTAGAGAGTATCTATGATAGTAATACTCAAGTTTGTACTGATGTTAGTTAGGTTTTCTAGATGTACAGAGATGTATTTCAAATAGGGAGCCTTCAAATTTTTCAGAGACTTTCAGAATATGGCATTTAAAATGTTTTAAGACATTAAGACTTTTCATGACCATGAAACACATCTGCTCCTGGTGGAACCAGTCTACTCTGAGAGGATGATGAACATCGAAGAGGCTCCTTATGGAGTTTGTTAGACATTTCGGCAAGAAACTGCTCTTGCTGGGACTGCTTGATGAACTGGACATGCAGAACCCACAGAGAAATGACTGATGAGCTTTCCTAAAGGTCAGATGATTCTTCGGGGTTCCTGATTCATGATAGAGTCTGCCAGACATTCTACAGGACACAGAAGACAGCAACTGTTGGACTTTTCCATTGCAAGGCAGTGTAGAAGGCCGCAGCCACATTCTCCATTATCAAGATGGCGCTGACATCCGGCTTCACTGCCAGGTGAACGCACATGTGTTCGGTAATTTCCCATTGAGTCCCCGCCTATTCCCGAGGCATCACCTGGGACTGGGAGCAGCGGACCTATCCAAGAGTGACACGTCCGAAGCAGGGTCTGTTTCCTATATAAGGGATGGGTTCCATCTTATCTGGGTCTCCGCCATGTGGCTTATGCTCTAGCTCCCAAGAGACATAAAGCCTTTCTACAGAAGTATCCTATGTGTACCGCGTGGTTCTTGCTGGCGAGACGGTAGCGCGGGACATCTGGTGCCGAAACCCGGGAGGAAGAAGAAGAAAAACTTTACACCGCCGGAGACCCCTTGGACACAAGGAGGATTCAGAACTGCAGGCATGCGTGCTTAGAGAGGTACGCTCTAAAGTCCAGAGAGCATATCAGAAACTGAGCAGCAGTGGGAGGTTTTGCGCGCACCCAGATAAGTTAAAAAATGACCCTCCGATAAAGAATGGGGGAGACAGAAAAGAAGATAAGTTAAAAGGACCCCCCAGTGATTTTAAAAAAGTAAAAATGGGGGAGAAGGCTGATTTACAAGGTCAAAAGCTTTATGTTATGTTATTTATGTTGTCTGTTATGTACTGGATAGGAGAAAGATATTTAAACTTAGAAACTGCTAAGGATATGATGTTTTGGGAAAGAGGTTCTGTTTTCGTCTCCACAGAAAAGGAGAGCCTAAGGGTGTACTTGGGATTTACGTGGTTTGAATCACCGAGACCTCCTGAAATGTTGTAATGTATACCCCTAAAATTCAGCGGCCCAATAACAGCAGGAAGCAGCCAAAGAGACTAAACGACGCCCAAATTCCCTAAAAGATTAAATGAGGTCCTTTCAATGATCGCAGATCTGCAAGCCTGCTTCTCTGAGTTCAGCTTTGCTCCATGCACCGGTTTGGGCGCGGAATGGGTGCAGCTAGGGCTGGAGGGCGGCTGGAGCGGAGCTTTGCTCTGTGGCTATGGTGGGGAGCACGTTGCGCCGGCTCAATTGGTGCGGCTCAGTTGGTGCCTGGCCTGGAGGGTGCCCAGAATGAGAGCGGTGCCACAGGCAGCCGGGCCAAAAAGCTTACAATGTACCTAAAACTATGAGGGTCTCTGAGGCTAAAATGGCTTTGATTCCATTTGGCTATGCTAAATGATGCTGACTTCAGGCAGGGCTGGTCGTATTTATCATAATAAAAGTGCAATTAAGGTTTAGACACAATAAACAGGCAGTACCATATTACATCTACATAATGCAACTTAAGTTTTTAAGAACTGCTTAACATTTTAAAAACTCAAGTCCTCCTAAAAGATTGCTGTGTATACGCTTGGCTTGTCTGATGTTTCAGGATCCGCAGGGAGGTGGATGCGAAGGGCCCTTGGATTTTGGGATGATTGGGTCATTGGCTGGATCTGTGAGAGTTTATAGTCGCTTTTGCTATGGCACAGGTGTTGAGAATTTGCTAGTAGGGAAGCGGCCCTATTCGCCGCCTCTCCCATCGGCCCCTTGAGCCGCAGCGGCTCTGGCGCAGACCTTGAGATGTTGCGGCCTGTGCCGCCTCGGTCTGAATGTCGGCTCCCGCCACACTCCGCCACCAACACAGCCTCAGAGAACTAGGCTAGCCCCGAGGGGAAGGCTGGGGCGCCTGGGGGTGGAGCCACCACTTCCTGGCCCAGGACAGGCGGAGCCGCACAGCAAACAGGCCCAGGGCCTCGGAGAATGGAGGGGTGGGCTCTGGAACCCAAGGCCACCGTACCTGCAAGGAATACGGGAGCCAATAAATCTTAAATCTAATATCAACAAACAGAGACCTGTAGATCTCTAAGTTCAAGACCAGCCTACTTCCAGTACTGACTGTACAAAATTTTTACACTGAGTTTTTTAATACTCTTAAATGTTATTTTGGGAAAAGAGTTTGTTTATGTTTTTTTTTCTAGAAATGCTACTATTCATGCTATGGATTCATTTGTCCAGAGGCCTGAGGACAAAGCCTCTGCTATGGAGCTGTCTGGCCTGATTGCTGCGGAGCTGGCGGGTTCCTGAGGGATGGGCCAGCTCCTGCCCTTGGTCTGTCAGTTAT